ACATGAGTTTTTTCTTGCCTTGATGCTTGAGAGTTGAGTGGCGAATTCATTCATTCATTTACTCAACGGGAACTGTTCACCTGCTGTGTGCAGTGCAGTCAATTTTTTTAAATTAGTTACTTTTTTTTTTTTTTTTTGAGATGGAGTCTTGCTCTATTGCCCAGGCTGGAGTGCAGTGGCGTGATCTCAGCTCACTGCAACCTCCGCCTCCCAGGTTCAAGCGATTCGCCTGTCTCAGCTTCCCGAGTAGCTGGGATTACAGGCACGTGTCACCATGCCTGGCTTATTTTTATATTTTTAGTAGAGATGGGGTTTCGCCATGTTGGCCAGGCTGGTCTCAAACTCCTGATCTCAAGTGATCCGCCTGCCTCGGCCTCCCAAAGTGCTGGGATTACAGGCGTAAGCCACCATGCACAGCCTCAGTGCAGTCAATTAAGCACTAGGAAAAAAAAAAAAAAAAAAAAAAGATGTGTGGCCTGTCCTCACAGAGCTTATGATTCAGTAGGGAAGATAGACATGGCAGACCCGTGTTATAGTCTCAGGTGCTATGACAGAGACGCACACGGAAAACTGGAGTAGAGCCCTCCCTAAACTTAAGAGGGTGAGACTGGGCAAAGTGGTCCATGTCTATAATCCTAGCGCTTTGGAAGGCTGAGATAGGAGGATCACTTGAGCCCAAGAGACTGAGACCAGCTTGGGCAACACAGTGAGACCTCATCTTTCCAAAAAGTTTTAAAAATATATTAGCCAGGTGTGGTGGTGCATGCCTTTCGTTCCAACTACTCAAGAGGCTGAGGCATGAGGCAGGAGGATCTCTTGAGCCCAGGAGTTTGAGACCAGCCTGGGCAACAGAGTGAGACCCTGTCTCTACAAAAAGTTTTAAAAGTATATTAGCCAGTGTGGTGGCATATGGCTCTAGTCCCAACTACTCAAGAGGCCGAGGCAAAAGGATTGCTTGAGCCCAGGAGTCTGAGGCTGGAGAGAGATCATGCCACTATACTCCAGCCTGGGTGACAGAGAGAGACTCTGTCTCTCTCTCTAAAATTAAAAAAAAAAACATATAATTTTTTTTTTTTTTTTTTTTTTGAGATGGAGTCTCGCTCTGTCGCCCAGGCTGGAGTGCAGTGGCCAGATCTCAGTTCACTGCAAGCTCCGCCTCCCGGGTTCCCACCATTCTCCTGCCTCAGCCTCCCGAGTAGCTGGGACCACAGGCGCCGCCACCTCGCCCGGCTAATTTTTTGTGTTTTTAGTAGAGACGGGGTTTCGCCGTGTTAGCCAGGATGGTCTCGATCTCCTGACCTTGTGATCCGCCCGTCTCGGCCTCCCAAAGTGCTGGGATTACAGGCTTGAGCCACCGCGCCCGGCCAAAAACATATAATTTTTTAAAAAGACAGTGAGAATGCTCAGAAAGGCTTCCTGGAGGCATCATGAAGGATAAATGGTGGTTAACTGACTGGAGAAGACAGTAATAGTGCTTAAAAGTCTCTGTGTTTCAAATAATAAACAACCTAATGCAAACTGGCTTAAGTGCAAAAGAGAATATTGATTCTTGTACCTGAAAGGTCCAGGGAATTTTGGCTTCAGTCATAGCTAGACCCAGGATCTAGTAGAGTATCATCAAGGATCTGCCACTGTTTGTCTACCCAACAGCATCTCCCTTCTTCATTGTTAATAGAGCCCCAAATTTGTTCATTCTCAGTGGAACTGCTTTGTCTTTCAGGAGTGGCTGGGTTTAACTCATTACATCTGCGACAATCGTGTTTCCAATACAGTCGTGTTCTGAGGTCTTGGGAGTTATACTTCAATATACTAATTTTGGGGTGATACAATTCAACCCTAAACACTCAGCCTTTCCCTTCTCCATTTCTCTCATCTCCTGCTGGTATCTCCCATTGACTGGACCGATCTGGAGGGTATGTTATAGGAAAGGGGTCCTGATCCAGACCCCAAGAGAGTTCTTGGATCTTGTGCAAGAAAAAATTCAGGGCCAGTCCATAAAGTGAAAGCAAGTTTATTAGGAAAGTATAGGAATAAAAGAATGGCTACTCCATAGATAGAGCAGCTCCTAGGGCTGCTGGTTGCCCATTTTTATGGTTATTTCTTGAGTGTGTGCTAAGCAAGGGGTGGATTATTCATGCCTCCCCTGTTTAGATGATATAGGTAACTTCCTGACATTGCCATGGCATTTGTAAACTGTCATGGCCCTAGTGGGAGTGTAGCAGTGAGGATGCCCAGAGGTCACTCTTGTCACCATGTTGGTTTTGGTGGGTTTTGACCGGCTTCTTTACTGCAACTGTTTCATCAGCAGGGTCTTTATGACCCGTATCTTGTGCCGACCTCCTATCTCATCCTGTGACTTGGAATGCCTTAACCATCTGGGAATGCAGCCCAGTAGGTCTCAGCCTCATTTTACCCAGCTCCTATTCAAGATGGAGTTGCTCTGGTTCACGTGCCTCTGACATTTCCAATAAGGTCACATTCCGAAGGGGTTATACTTCACCATATGAATTTTGGGGTGATACAATTCAGCCCCTAATACTCTGTCTTTCCCTCCTCCATCTCTCTGATCTCCTGCTGGTACCTCCCATAGGATGGACCCATCTGGAGGGTATGGGAGCCTGGTTGATGTGAACCATGAAAAGCAGCTTCCTGAGGCACAGAGCAGGGTAGAGAGGGTGGATCTGGAGATGCAAAAAGGATATCCAGGACACTCTGTAGCATCTTTCTTCTTGGGAAGGATCTCTCCACATGGCAGCCAACACCTCTAGACTGACTTGGTTCTTAGCTCCTGCTATTTTTAAAAGAAGACACAGAGATTTTGTCACCCAATTTCCATAACAATTCTCTAAAAGAAGTTGACTGGTATTCTTTGGGTTCCAAGAAGAAACTTGAAATGGAAATAGAAGACAGGATATCTGGTGCTCCACCCCATTGCAGGCTCAGCTTATCTTCTCCCCTTTACTCTGGGATGTCTTTTCCCTTGTGGCTTACTAGGTATCTATCCCTTAGGGGCTGCATTCAGCTGCCTGTATTGAACATTCAAGAACAGTGGCAATAAAACGAATGAAGTTTATTTCTCCTTACACATTTAGATGTCCAGAGTAGGGCAGGCCCAAGCTGGTACTGTGGCTTAAGGAAGACGCAGGCTCTTTCTATCCCCTGCTTCACCATCCTTAGCACGTGGCTTTGGGCCTCATGGCTAAAAGGGGCTGCTCCACTTGCAGCCCCACATCTGTGTTCCAGCCTGAAGAAGTGATATGAAACTTCAAGGAGGAAGGGGCAGCAGATATCAGGAAAGCAGAATTTTCTCAGAGATCCCTAGAATACATCTGTTTCTATCTCGTCGGGCAGAACTGTATGACATAGCTGTCCCTTGCTACATGGGAGCCTGGGAAATGTAGATCTTTGGCTGAGCTGACTGCCATTTGGAAGCAATCATGTTCCTGTTAATAAGGCTGAAGTGGAGAGTGGACCTTGGGTGGAGAGCTAGCAGGGTCAGCCACACCGCTGGTGGCACCTGTGTGCGGGGTGTCTCATGAAGGTGGCACTCAGACCCAAAGGACTGCTGTTCAGAGGACTTGAGTGAATCTGGGGTAAAGCAATATTTACAATTACTCATAAAAGAGAAGCATAGTCTAAATTTAAATAACAAAATCCTCCAATTCCAAAAGTATGTAATAAACCCCAATATGAGCACTGTCTTTTATTAGTACCTAATGTCAGAAAATGTGCTTATTGAAAGAGGACTAAAGAAATGTCTTTAGAATTCTTTGCCCAAGTTACTGTTTCTTGATGTTCTTATAAATCTCATAAAGGATTCATGCATATTTCATCTAACACAAGCAATCAATTAACCTCCTTTCCTTTTTCCTACTCAGACATGTGGGCAAAGTAAGAATATACAGTTGACTCCTAAACAATACAGATGCCAAACCCCCGTGCAGTAAAAAATCCACTTACAACTTTGGCCGGGCACAGTGGCTTACACCTGTAATCCCAGCACTTTGGGAGGCCAAGGCAGGGCAGACTGCTTGAGCTCAGGAGTTCGAGACCAGCCTGGGCAACATGATGAAACCCCATCTCTACAAAAAATACAAAAATTAGCCAGGTGTGGTGGTGTGTGCCTGTAGTCCCAGGTACTGAGGAGGCTGAGGTGGGAGGGTCACTTGAGCTCGGGAGGCAGAAGTTGCAGTGAACTGAGATCACGCCACTGCACTCTAGCCTGGGTGACAGAATGAGGCCCTGTCACAAAAAGAAAGAAAGAAAATCCACATAAAACTTTTGACTCCCTCAAAACTTAACTACTAATAGCCTACTGTTGACTGGAAGCCTTACCAGTAGCACAAATTTTGTATGTTATATGTATTATATACTATATTCTTATAAGTAAGGTAGCAAAAGAAAATTTATTAAGAAAATTATAAAAAAGAGAAAATATACTTACCAGTCATTAAGTGGAAGTGGATCGTCACAAAGGTCTTCTTCCTCATCTTCAGGTTTAGTAGGCTGAGAAGGAGGAAGAGGAAGGATTGGTCCTGCTGTCTCAGGGGTGGCAGAGGTGGAAGGGGAGGCAGGAGAGGCAGGCACACTTGGTGTTAAGTTTTTTGTTATTTTGACACATAGTCTCACCCTGTTGCCCAGGCTGGAGTGCAGTGGCAAAGTCTCGGTTCATTGCAACCTCTACCTCCCAGGTTCAAGCAATTCTCCTGCCTCAGCCTCCTGAGTAGCTAGGACTACAGGCGCCCGCCACCATGCCTGGCTAATTTTTGTATTTTTAGTAGACACAGGGTTTCACTGTGTTGGCCAGGCTGGTCTCGAACTCCTGACCTCAAGTGATCCACCCACCTCGGCCTCCCAAAGTCCTGGGATTACAGGCATGAGCCACCACACCGGCCGGTGTTAAGGTTTATTGAAAAGTGTCATGTATAAGTAGACCTGTGCAGTTCAAATCCATGTTGTTTAAGGGTGAGCTGTAATTTAATGATCTCTTCTCTCTTTAGAGGAAAAGAACCAAATTCATTGCCTGTGATTTTCTGACCGAGTGGTTATACAAGTAAGTTGTTCATGTCTGACGATTCAGTGATCCTAAGAATTCAGTCGTGTTAATTTGCAAGCAGAATAGCAACAACTGACTTGAATTCTTGCTTATTGTTTTCTTGTCAATCAAACATATGGCATCGTGACCAGCCAAAATCCAAAGAGGGCAGGGGAGCCATTCACAGAATTTTTCTCCATTCCATTTGTGGAGGAGTGGCTAAAGCAACAGTAAGTATGACACAAGGCTTTGAATAATTTATTCCTAATTTAATATTGCATTAATAATAGTTTTCTTCAATCTAAGAGAACAAACTGATGTGATCCATCCAGGACTTTGGGCCAGTCATACTTCTGACAATCTTGTCTCTAGTTATTCTTAGCCTAGGCTAACCTTATCCTAATCATGCCAGTAATTTCATTCAAGAAGCACTCCAGGAAACCAAAAAAAAAAAAAAAAAATTCTTATCCTAAGTAATTTATCCCTTCATTCCCTTCATTTTTTTCTCTCTCTCTGACTGTCATTATGTCTCAGGAAATATGACTAAGCTTTTCTAAATACTTAGAAAATACTAAAAGAGCTTAAATAGTAAGTTACCTGCATCGATTCTCCATTTACAGTATAATAAAGAACATGACAGATAAAATTAAAACTCTTCGACCATTCTAATATGGGTTTCCTCCCCACATTGAAGTAATCAGTTCAGACGACAGTGCAACCTTCCAGACCTCTTATTTAGCTATATAAAATCAGTTTATGCTGCTCTATCTATGGAGTAGCCATTCTTTTATTCCTTTAATTTTTTAATAAACTTCCTTTCACCGGGCACTGTAGCTCACGCCGGTAATTCCAGCACTCTGGGAGGCTGAGGCAGGTGGATCATGAGGTCAGGAGATCGAGATCATCTTGGCTCACACGGTGAAACCCTGTCTCTACTAAAAATACAAAAAAATTAGCCAGGAGTGGTGGCAGGCACCTGTAGTTCCAGCTAGTTGGGAGGCTGAGGCAGGAGAATGGTGTGAACCTGGGAGGCAGAACTGGCAGTGAGCCGAGACGGTGCCATTGCACTCCAGCCTGGGTGACAGAGTGAGATTCCATCTCAAAAAAAAAAAAAAAAATTGGTTTATATCTAATCAGGCATGGTGACTTATGCCTGTAATCCCAACACTTTGGGAGGCCGAGTCAGCTGGATCACTTGAGATCAGGAGCTCAAGACCAGCCTGGCCCACAGGGCAAAACCCCATCTCTACTAAAAATACAAAAATTAGCTGGGCATGGTGGCACGTGCCTGTAATCCCAGCTACTTGGGAGGCTGAGGCAGGAGAATCGCTTGAACCTGGGTGGTAGAGGTTGCAGTGAGCCAAGATCACACCACTGCACTCCAGCCTAGGGGACAGAGTGAGATTCTGTCTCAAAGAAGAGTTTAGATTCTCAGTTCTCAGTTGTCACATATTTTACTTAAATCTGCCCTCTTTGAGAATGCCAAGATGAACAGACCTTTGGCTGACTTTTGCAATTTTGAGAATTTAAAAAACCCCAGATATTAACCAGTTTTTTTTTTTAATCTAAGATTACACATTGAAAGGAGAGAGACATCGGAAAACCTTGTTTCTTATTTAGCTTTTAAACCTGTGCCTGATTTTATCCACTATGAAATGTATAGCCCAAAATTTATTGATTTACATATATTTTTCTAAGACAAGTTTGAGTATCATTCTCTGAGTTGCTGCTTTGCCTTGAAGATAAAACATTTTTCCATTTGTAATAACCAATGAAAAATAATCTTAAAAATAAGAGAACTTCTCTAATAAGAATCCTCTTAGATTATTGATCCAAATATCTTAATTTTAAATGGCACTGATGTCCACAGGATGCTCATGTAAATACACCGTAAAGAAGCAGTAGCAGTCATTTCAGCTGCACTCCACAGGAACAGAAACACAAGAGCTCTTGCTTTAACTGGCATTTGTATTCTCTACATCCATTACCTTTCAAAGAGATGCCCAGATGCATGATAAAAATTAAAGTGATATTAATCTATTTGATGCAATGAATATCTATTGAACACCTACCCAGTTCAACTGAACAGAGCTTGGTGCTGTGGAAAAAACAGAGATGAATAAAGTATGGCCCTGGCCCTTGGGGTGAGGGAGACGTGTTTACGACTTGCTGTACTTTCTGTAGTGAGTGTTGTAATACAAATGTTAACAAAGCATTAAAGGGAAGTGGGGAAGCATGAGACCATCCACGTGCCCTTCCTGGTGGGCCTGGAGCCAGCCCAGCTGGGGCAGCGGCCAAGCTGGTTAGTGCCCAGATTTGGTCCAAGGCAGGAACTCAAATGCTGCATTCTTCTTGTCTCAAGTAGGAATAGTCAGAGAAGCAAGTAAAAACCAAAATTCTTAAGGAGAACAAGGTAGGAGCCGGGAAATATCCAATCCAGGTTGGCTCAACCTTGGCACTATTGTCATTTAGGACTGGATAATTCTTTGCTGTAAGGAGCTATGACCTGTGCATTGTAGGATGTTTTGCAGCATCTCTGGCCTCCACCCACTAGATGCCAGTAGCACCCTCCTACCAGTTGTGACAATCAAGACTATCTCCAGACACTACTGTATGTCCCCAACGGGAATGAGGGAAAATTGCCTCTGGTTGAGAACCTCTGATTTAGTCCAGTAGTTTCAGAACTTTAAACCAGCACTTTGGGAGGCCGAGGTGGGCAGATTACTTGGGGTCACGAGTTCGAGACCAGCCTGGCCAATGCAGTAAAACCCCATCTCCACTAAAAATACAAAAATTAGCCAAGTATCGTGGTGCGTGCCTGTAATCTCAGCTACTTGGGAGGCTGAGGCAGGAGAATTGCTTGAATCCAGGAGGCAGAGGTTGCAGTGAGCCAAGATGGTGAAACAGGAAAAGTTACCTTGTCCCTCTCGCAGGGCATGCAACGGGGATGTGGCTTGCTTCTTCAGTGCCCTGCTGCTCAAACCTCTAGGGGAGCATACAGATAGGCAGGTTGTGGGGCTCCCACCCAATGGCGGTGTCTATAGGTGAATTTATAGCTGAAGCCCCAGTGGGCATATGTTACCGGGTGCTCTCTTAGTTTGCCATCTGTAGGCTATTTGTGTTAACCAGTTCAATTCACCCTCTACCTTGTTGCAAGGACAGAGGAATTTCTGTATCCCAGGTTCTTGCCTTTGTGTACCGAAGGAATCAGATCACACGTGGGCTTGGAGAATGAGTGCAAAGTTTTATTGAGTGGAAGTAGCTCTCAGCCAATGGAGGAGCCAGAAGGGCTCCATGGTTTTTCCCATGGAGTTGGGCTGCTGGGCGGCTACAGCTCTCCTCCGACTAACTGCCCTGGCCAAACTCAGTCTCATCCTGCCAGGTGCCTGTGCCTGTCCCTGTGCTCTTCTGCCAGCGTGCTCCTCTCAACATCCTCTCGATGAGCAGCTGCTTGTGTCTTTTTACACTGATGTGTTTCTGTCCACGTTTGGCTGCCTGTGTGTCTGCCTGCTAGGGTCTCGGGCTTTTATATGCCCAGGATGGGGGTGCGTGGCAAGCCAGGGTGGTCTTGGGAAATGCAACATTTGGGCGGGAAATGCAACATTTGGGCGGGAAATGCCCGTTCTCATCTAGGTCCCTGGGGGTGGAGCCCTAGCCAAGGACCACGCCCTCCTCTATGCAGCACTTCCCCTACCACCTTCTGTATTATTTAAAGGGACCACGATCTTCCCTTCCCAGCACTCCTGTATCAATGGTACCACTGCACTCCAGCCTGGGTGACAGAGCAAGATTCCGTCTCAATAAACAAATAAATAAAATAAAATCACCCAGGGAACTTTGGAAAAATATTGGTACCTAACTTCACCCAGATTGATCAAATCATAATCTTCAGGTATAGCCTGGGCGTTGTTTTTTTGCTTTTTTTTTTTTTTTTTTTTTTTAAGCTTCCTAGGTGATTCTAATATATAGCCAGGATTAAGAGCTTATCCATCCATAGGATAGAAAAAGTGCTGCATCCAGGAACTAATGAATAGTATAATTGAGTCATTTCTTCACTAAGTGCTTTGATACTTGCCATCTCATTTAATCTTCACAACAACACTAGGATGTAGGTACTAAAGCTGAGAGCCCACAGCTGGGAAGTCAACCATGAAGTGAGACGGGACTTGGGCAAATAAGGTGATTATACGAGTATTATGGATGGACATTTTGAGTATGGCTTAATGATACAGATTGGATGAAGATTACTTTTGAGGGGGAGACTCTGTCAAGGCTTTTTAAAGGAAGTGAAATATAAACTACAGTATAGTTTAGGCAGAATTAGGAGCCTGAGCTTTTGGGATAGATAAACCAGTATTCAAATCTCCACCACTGGCTGGGTGCAGTGGCTGATGCCTGTAATCTCAGCACTTTGGGAGGCTGAGGCAGGCAGATCACCTGAAGTCAAGAGTTTGAGGCTAGCCTGGCCAACATGGCAAAACCCTGTCTCTACTGAAAATACAAAAATTAGCTGGGCATGGTGGTATGCGTCTGTAATCCTAGCTACTCAGAAACTGAGGCAGGAGAATCGCTTGAACCGGGAGGCAGAGGTTGCAGTGAGCTGAGATTGCACCACTGCATTCCAGCCTGGGTGACAGAGTGAGACTCTTTCTTAAAAAACAAAAAAATAAAAAAACAAAACAAAACAAATCACCACTTACTGATCCTATGATCTTGGGCAAGTGTTTATCTATTACTGTGTAACAAATTGCCCCAAAACTTAGTGACTTAAAGTCACAGATATTATCCTATAGTTTCTCTGGGTCAGGAATTTGGTAGCAGCTTAGCTGGGTGGTTGTGGTTCAGAGTTTCCCATGAGGTTGTAGTCAAGATGTCACAGGGGGTGCAGTCATCTGAAGGCCCAACTGGGGCTGGAGGTTCTGCTTTTAAGATGGTGCACAAATATGGTGCTGGTCGTTGTTTGGAGGCCTTAAATTTTCCCCATCTGGGTCTTTCCATGAGCTGCTTGAGTATCCTCATGACATGGTGACTGACCTCCTTCAGAGTGAAAGATTTGGGCACAAGAAGGAAGCATGGTACCTTTCATGACCTAGTCTTGGAAGTCACATACCTCCACATTCTATTAGAAGCAGGTCACCAAGTGCCACATTCGAGGTTTAATAATTAAGCTCCACCTTAGGGAGGGAGGAGTATCAAAGAATGTGTGGACATATTTATTTTAAAAGTATCA